CACATGAGTTGCACAAAGAAGATGAGGATAACTAGTTGGGATAAAAAAAGGATTTAGATGAAGAATAAACTACTCAGAATTTTATGAATATTACTCGATAGGGTGATATATCTCCTAGACTAATAGAGAAAGGAAAATCAATAGGTAGAGGAAAACGAAAGCAGGCAAATGAGATTCCTAGTGTGCAAGCAACTGGGGTTCAAACAAGGAGGACGATTTCCAATTCTACTAATTAGAAATAAATGATATGATTTGGAATATTCAGTCAGTTAACACACAAAGAGCTTTTGAAAGGCTCATTTCAATGCATAGACAACACAAGTTTCAGTTCATAGGGTTGATGAAACCAATGCAACAAGGGAGGAAACTGGATAGATATCGGAGGAAAATTAATTTTGCCCAGGCCATTTCTAATGTTTCCAATAAAATATGGGCATTCTTTGATGAAAGATTTGAAGTTACAGTAATGATGGACATGGTACATCAACTGACTTTGAAGCTATTTGACACTGAAGATCAACATGAATTCATCTTTACGCTAGTGTATGCCAAATGTGATGCTATTGAATGAATAGAATTATGGGATTCTCTATATGTACTTGAAAGCGACATGACTCTTCCATGGATTGTTGGTGGTGACTTCAATGTCATCTGGGATGAGGAAGAAAAATTTGGAGGATTACCTGTGCACATTAATGAAGTTGACGACTTTAGGCACTGTGTGAACACTTGTAATTTGTTTGATCTTGGTTTTAAAGGGAGTATATACACATGGTGGAATGGAAGAGCAGAAGAGGATTGTATTTTTAAAAGGTTCGATAGGTGCTTGGCTAATATGGATTTTCAGAAATTATGGCCTGGTCTAGAGGTGGAACACTTGCCAAAAATTGGGTCTTATCATAGCCCATTGCCGATAACTCTTAATCCAGAAGTTGCTCTAGTTAAGAAGTTATTTAGATTCTTAAACTTTTGGATAAAAAATGATTCATTTCAGGCAGTAGATCGACAAAATTGGCAAGCTGATTTTCATGCTAATCCTTTCATCTTATTTAACTATAAGTTAAAGAAGTTGAAGAAGGCACTTTCAATATGGAGTAAGGCTAATTATGGGGACATATTTCAGAAGCTATCCAGTCTCGAGGAGATGGTCAAATTCATGAGGCTCAGTTTGTGTTAAGCCCTATATTTCAGAATAGGGAGAGGCTCCAAAGAGTGCAAGCTGACCTATTTAAATATATGGCATTGGAGGAGGAATTCTGGAGACAGAAATCAGACATGTCATGGTTTCAAGATAGAGACAGAAACACGAAGTTTTTCCATGCTCAAGTTAAAGGAAGAATAAAGAAATTACAACTGAAGAGGATTCAATCAAGGGATGGTAATTGGATTGAAGAAAATGAAGCAATGGAAGCAGAGGCAGTGAAATTATTTGATGCTCAATTCCATGAAGATACTATGCCTAGTGCTTTTGGGATCATTGATCATACACCTTACATGCTTAATTTGGAAGAGAACCAAGATTTGGTGAGGCAACCAACTAGAGAAGAAGTAAAGCAGTCGGGTTATGGCTTGAATGGAGAGAGTGCCGGGGGACTAGATGGATTTAATGGAAGCATTTTCCATTCTTGTTGGGATATTATAGGTGACGATGTATTGGATATGGTGAAATCGTTCTTCAATGGGCAAGAACTACCAAAGTTTGTGACTCACACGAATTTAGTATTACTACCAAAGAATAAGGAAGTGATCACTTTCTCGGATATGAGGCCAATTAGCCTTAGTAATTTCATCAACAAAGTATTCTCTACGGTCATTCATGAGAGGATAGTTGGCTTGCTTCCTAATCTTATTTCTGATGAACAGGCAGGTTTTGTAAAAGGAAAGAGTATTGTGGAGAATGTATTACTGACTCAAGAAATAATCAATGACATGAGATTGCGAACAAAGGCAGGTCCAAATGCTATGATCAAATTAGATATGATGAAGGCTTATGATAGATTATCTTGGTTGTTTTTAAACAAAGTATTAAGGAAGATGGGATTTGGTGAGAGATTTATTGGTTTGGTGTTTGGAATCATCTCCAATAATTGGTATTCAGTTCTTATAAATGGGCAACCTCATGGTTTCTTCAAATCCACGAGGGGAGGTGAAGCAAGGAGATCCATTATCACTTACTCTATTCATACTGGCAGCGGAAGCACTTTCAAGGGGGTTGAATACACTACACTTAAATCTTTATTTCTGTGGCTTTGAATTGCCTGAGTGGAGTCCCAATATTAATCACCTAACTTATGTAGATGATACCATCATATTCTCATCCTCAGATGCTACTTCACTCCAATTGATCATGAAAGTTTTAACTGCATATGAAGTAGCCTCTGGTCAGCTGATAAATAAGGCCAAATCTGTCGTATATATGCATCACTCTACAAGTGATGTTGTGGCTAGGAAAGTGGAAAGGGTAACAGGGATTGACAGGCAAGAATTCCCCTTTGTTTATCTTGGATTCCCTATCTTTTACACCAGAAGGAAGATGGATTATTACCAAGGACTTTTGTCCATTGGAGGAAGAGTAGTAATGACCTCCCATGTGTTGCAAAGTATGCCTATACACTTGCTATCTACAGTGAATCCACCTGCTTTTGTGATTAACAAACTTCACAAGATATTTACTAGATTCTTTTGGAGCAGTTCAGTAGATAGAATAGCTAGACATTGGGCTTCCTGGGATAACTTATGCCTTCCTTGTGAGGAAGGAGGTGCATGTTTTCGATCATTACATGATATGTCTAAGGCTTTGTTCTATAAACTATGGTGGAATTTCCGAACAAAACCATCACTGTGGAGTTCATTCTTGAGCCAAAAGTATTGCAAGAAACTTAATGCAATGGTGGTTCCTTGAAGAAATGGATCACATGTTTGGAGAAAAATTCTTGAATGTAGGGATCTTGTGGAGCATCAAATTGTATGAAAACCAAAAATGGGATCATCCCTCTTTTGGTTTGATAACCGGACTGGTCTAGGATCTCTTTACTTTGTTACACCACCTGATTTCTTTTGTGATGAATCAATCCATAATGTCTATGATGTAGAGAATGAAGGAGTTTGGGATGAGGACAAGTTACATGAAATTCTTCCAGAAGATATAGCTACACACATACTGGACAATGTCACACCTCCAGTTGCATATGATGTGTTGGATAAGCCTTTTTGGAACCTGGAGTCAAAGGGAAATTTTACTGTTAAAATAGTTTGGTGTTGTGTGAATCCGGATGAAGAATCAGTGGCTTATGTATTTTTTAAATCTATGCAGCCAAAAAAGTATGGACATACTTCTTTTCATATGCAGGTTTATCTCTAAAGGGACTAAGGATACATCAAGCGAGCGTAAAGTGCTGGACAGTAGAGGTGTTACCAAGGCTTAAACCTATCTTTCAAGATTTGCCTTGCATTATTGTTTGGGAGCTATGGAAAAGAAGAAATAGCAATAAGCATGGTGATGCAGTCTTGATCAATAAGGTGGTGTATCAAATTTGTACTACTATTCAGTCCCTCATCAAATTAGAAAGCCAGGTATGAGTAATATTCCACATAGGTGGCCAGATAAACTCCATATTATGAAAAACTACATGCCTAGATTAAAGGTTAGTAAGGTGATATGGGAATTCCCTATGGATGAATGGATTAAAATCAATAAAGATAGGGCATCAAGGGGTATTATGAAAATTAAACCATGGGACGATTTGATTGACGCACTAGTGACTTTTTGGGACCCCGTTCACAATGTCTTTCGCTTCTCCGATTTTGAGCTAGCTCCCACTTTAGAAGAGATAGCTGGATATTCCGGGTTTGGCAGGGATTTGAGAAACCAGGAGCTCATATTCCCAAGGGCTCTTTCTGTACACCGATTCTTCGATCTTCTGAACATCAGTAAGCAAATTAGAAAAACCAATGTAGTCGAAGGGTGTTGTTCTTTCTACTTTTGTACTCTAGGTTCGGGCAGCCAAATGGGTTTGAAATGCATGAAAAGGGCCTTAACAACAAGCAGAACAAAGACACATGGCATATTCATCGTCGCTTCGCCTTCATAATGGCGTTTCTGGGAATTATGGTCTTCCCAAACGAGGAGCGAACAATTGATACCCGCATAGCCAGGGTTGTACAGGTCCTCACTACCAAAGAACATCACACTCTTGCCCCGATCATTCTATCAGACATTTATCGGTCGTTGACTTTGTGCAAGTCCGGGGCAAAATTCTTCGAAGGGTGCAATATTTTGTTACAAATGTGGTTGATTGAGCATCTCCGACATCACCCCAAGTTCATGAGCTATGGTCCGAGCAAGGATAATTTTATTGNAGTGGAGAGAGCAGGCTGCTAGGGTCAAACCACCAATGAAAGAGGCAGAAATGATTGACTATTTTCTCCAAGCTCAGGATCCTGATTACCTCCATTACATGCTGGCCGCCATTGGTAAACCTTTCGCTGAGGTGATTAAGATTGGTGAAATAGTTAAGAATAGCATGAAGTCGGGCAAAATTGTGAGTCAGGCAGCCCTTAAGGCGACCACACAAGCAATTCAAAGCGGGTCAGGCAGTTTCGAAAATCGAAAAAAGAAGGAGGAAGGATCCATGATGGCATCTGGGTTCGGGGGAGTTCAAAGAGGAATAGCTCCTTCTTACATGCAATTCCAACAAGGACTATCGAATTCTCTTCAACATTATTATCCGCCTCAAGGTCCCCGATACTCAGTTCCCCTGCAACAATACACAGTGTTTAATGCTTAGGCTTATGCTAGGCCTCTCAATCACCAACAATGGCGGGCACCAATTCCACAAGGCTCCCGTCAACTCCGGCCGAATTTTCAGGCACCATATAATCCTCATCCCCGACAAGAATATATGAGAGAATATGAGCCAAAGAAAGAGTTCACCCCAATTGGAGAATCGTATACAAGCCTATTTTGAAAGTTGATGCAGTTGAAATTGATTGAACCTATTATGTCGCGTTATGTGAATCTAAATTCAAAAGGTTTTGACTCAAATGCAAGATGTGAGTATCACTCTAACACCCAAGGGCATAGTACTGAAAATTGTTGGACATTAAAGAAAGCCATTGAAAATTTGATTGAAGCAAAGGCAATTGTGGTAACAAACAATGAGGATACTCCTAATATCACAAACAATCCGCTCCCAACTCATGATAATACACATTTTATTGGGATGATTTGTGATGATCGGGATTATAAGCAGTCTGGCAAGACAGAGATGGTTGTTAGAACCATAGGGCCAGAACCAAAAGTGATAGTGAGCCCGCCGCAATTGGCACCATTGATGGTGAAAGGTGCGAGTTCTAGTTTGAACTTGGCATGTTCTGAAAAAACAATTTTCTATGTTCCTGGAAGCACAAAAAAGGTTGAGGTTCAATTGGGTGGGCCAAAACTTTACATCCCCGGGGGCATTCAAAAGATCATTCCGAATAATGGTTTGAGGAATATAACAGAGCCAGTCGTGGTCCGACCTGTTGCCCAACTCCTAGTGACAAACACAAAAGCTATTCCCTGGAATTATAACAAGACTGTCATAACATACAAAGGAAAAAAGATAGTTGAAGAAACAAGTGAAATGGGAGGCTTAACCCGCTCTGGAAGGTGTTATTCACCAGAGGAATTGAGAAAAGCTAAGCAAGCCAGGGAAAGTCATTTGCTAGTGAAAGAACCCGTTGCAGAAAAAGAAGCGGAGGAATTCCTTAAGAAGATGAAATTGCAAGACTACTCAATCATTGACCAACTAAGGAAAACTCCTGCTCAGATATCTTTGTTATCTCTGCTTTTGCATTCAGAAGAGCATCGTCGTGTGTTGATCAAAACTTTGAACGAGGCATATGTCTCAGAAAAGACAACGGTGAATCAGCTAGAAAAAATGGCTGAAAGATTCTTTGAAGTAAATAGAATTACTTTCAGCGATGATGATTTGCCTGAGGAAGGGGCTGGCCACAATAGAGCTTTGCATCTTATGGTCAAATGTGAAGGGCACTACGTAAAAGGAGTCATGATTGACGGAGGCTCAAGTGTAGATGTGTGTCCTCTTTCTACTCTACAACAGCTGAACATCGACACTAACAGAATTCGAACCAGTAATGTCAGCATCAGAGCTTTTGATGGGTCAAAAAGAGACACTATTGGGGAAATCGAACTCACCATGATAATCGGCCCGGTTGATTTTAACATTGTCTTTTAAGTGTTAGATATGGAAACTTCCTATAATTTTCTTTTGGGAAGGCCGTGGATCCATATGGCCCGAGCTGTACCATCCACCCTACATCAAATGGTCAAATTCGAGTGTTTCGGGCAAGAAATTATTGTTCATGGGGAGGACGACTCATCCGTCTATAAAGACCCACCCATTCCATATATCGAGGCCAAGGAAGGATGTGAATCTATCATATATCAAGCATTTGAGGTGATTGAGGTGGACTAAGTGGAAGAAGGAAAACCAATTCTGCATCCTTGTCTTTCAGCCACATCTATGATGGTAGCTTTGCTGATGTTGAGGAATGGCTATAAACCAGGAAAAGGATTGGGATCCTCTCTACAAGGAATTGTGAACCCCATTGCTTCATTTTCGAAGAAAAATACCTTTGGCTTGGGCTTTAAACCAACATCAGCTGACATAGATAGAGCCAAGGCCCGCAAAAAGAATGGTTGGAATCTGTCCAAACCAATCCCTCACATTGCCTACTCTTTTATCAAGCCACAATTTGAAGAAGTCCAAAATCCTTCTACTCAGGATGACATTGACGAAGTTTGCCAGGGTCTCAAGGAGATGTTCAATGAGATCAATATGGTTCAAGTTGGGGAGGGCCCTAGCCGTGCAAGTGTTCAACTGATTGGTCCAGATACCTCGCTCAGCAACTGGGAAGCAACTCCTCTTCCCATCAGGAAGGAGTCTTGGTAGCCTATTTTGTTATTTTTTCTGTATTTGGATTATTTTAAGGGTTGTAATTCAGATATTTTAGTTTAATTGCTTTTCTGTGATGTTAACCCTTCTATCCTTTCATATTCAATGAAATGAAGTTCCATTTTCGTAGTAAAATTCTATCTTTTTATTTCCCTAATTTTTGTTAATTTCTTATCATTTTCAGTTTCGATAATGCTGGCTTTAAATACATGACATGCACGCGGAATTCATGCCCAGATCTTAAAAAGCTGTTTAATCTCGAAATAATGAATCAAGAAGTTGAGTATGACGAAGATGAGGCTTTTAGAGAAATAAAAAGGGAATTGGATCAATTTGAGAATAAGCCTAAGCCTAACTTAAATGAAACTGAGGCAATTAACCTGGGAAGTCCTGAAGAAACTAGAGAAACAAAAATAAGCATTCATACTGAACAAAATATGAGAGATGCCATAATTCAAGTTTTGTTCAAGTACAGAGATGTATTTGTTTGGTCGTATGATGACATGCCGGGTTTGAGTGTCGATCTAGTGGTCCATAAGCTTCCCACACATCCTAATTTTCCACCAATCCAGCAAAAACAAAGGAAGTTTAAGACAAACATGAGTGATAATATTAAAGAAGAAATCACAAAGCAACTAAGTGCAAATGTGATCAGGGTCGTCCGATACACTACATGGTTAGCAAATGTTGTGCCAGTGCCAAAGAAGGATGGGAAAATAAGAGTTTGTGTTGACTATAGGGATTTAAACAAAGCAAGTCGAAAGGACAACTTTCCCTTACCCAACATTCATATCCTTGTTGATAATTGTGCTAACATGAAATCTAATATTTTGTGGATTGTTATGCCGGATATCACCAAATTCTGATGGATAAAGAAGATGCAGAAAAGACCGCCTTCACAACTCCATGGGGAACTTATTGTTATAGGGTCATGCCATTCGGTTTGAAGAATGCAGGGGCAACTTACATGAGAGCCATGACTACCATATTCCATGACATGATGCATAAAGAGATTGAAGTGTACGTTGATGATGTGATCATTAAGTCGAGAACACAAGCTTACCATGTGCAAGACTTGAAAAAGTTCTTTGAAAGGCTACGAAGGTACAATCTCAAACTCAATCCAGCCAAATGTGCATTTGGAGTTCCTTCTGGGAAGCTTTTGGGTTTTATAGTTAGTCGAAGAGGCATTGAGTTAGATCCCTCCAAGATAAAGACCATTCGAGAGCTGCCTCCCCCGAAGAACAAAACAGAAGTCATGAGTTTACTCGGGAGGTTGAATTACATTAGCAGGTTCATCTCGCAGCTTACAACCACATGTGAGCCTATTTTTAAGTTGTTGAAAAAGAACGCCGCTATCAAGTGGACAGATGAGTGCCAAGAAGCTTTTGATAAGATCAAGGAATATTTGTCAAATCCCCCTGTTTTGGTCCCGCCGGAACCTGATAGGCCTCTATTTTTATATCTGTTAGTAATGGATAGTTCCTTTGGTTGTGTTCTGGGTCAACATGATGCCACATGCAAAAAGGAACAAGCAATATATTATTTGAGCAAAAAGTTCACCACTTATGAGGCCAAATACACTCTTTTGGAAAGGACATGTTGCGCCTTAACCTGGGTCGCCCAGAAGCTTAGGAATTATCTTTTGGCCTATACAACTTACTTCATATCCCGAATGGATCCCCTGAAGTACATCTTTCAGAAGCCGATGCCAACAGGCAAATTGGCAAAGTGGCAAATCTTGCTCACAGAGTTTGATATTGTTTATGTCACTTGCACTGCCATGAAGGCAGAAGCTTTGGCTGATCATCTGGCAGAAAACCCGGTTGATGATGAGTATGAATCTTTGAACACATATTTCCCAGATGAAGAGGTTAATTTAGTTGAAGAAGTAGTCCAAGATGACAGTCAAATTTGGAAACTATACTTTGATGGGGCTGTCAACATCAAAGGCATAGGGATTGGGACAATTCTGGTATCACCTACTGGGCAACATTACCCTGCTACGGCGCGACTTCGATTTTTTTGTACAAACAACACAGCAGAATATGAAGCTTGCATTATGGGTCTGAACATGGCAATAAATCTAAATGTGCATGAATTGTTGGTGATGGGAGATTCAGATTTGCTTATTCGGCAGGCTCAAGGTAATTGGGAGACTCGAGACGTCAAGCTCATTCCATATAGACAATGTGTGGAGGATCTTAGCAAAAGGTTCAAGTCCATCGAATTCAGGTACATTCCCAGGTTTCACAATGAATTAGCTGATGCCTTGGCCACCCTAGCCTCAATGCTTCCATATCCGGGTAATACTCACATTGACCCATTAGAAATTCAAATTCGGTATCAACATGGTTATTGCAATACAATTGAAGCAGAACCAGATGGTGAACCATGGTATCGTGATATTAAAAAGTTTCTGAAAACAAGAGAATATCCAGAACATGCTAACATGGATCAAAAGAGAACTATTAGGCGACTCTCTAGTGGTTTCTTTTTGAGTGGGGAAATCCTATACAAAAGAACTCTGGATTTGAATTTGTTGAGATGTGTGGATGCCAAAGAAGCTGAAATGATTATGAATGAGGTGCATTCGGGAGTTTGTGGTCCGCACATGAATGGATATGTTCTAGCAAAGAAAATCCTTCGGGCAGGATATTATTGGCTTACTATGGAACGAGATTGCTTTCGTTTTGTTCGCAAGTGCCACCAGTGTCAGATTCACAGTGATTTGATTCACTCGCCTCCTTCAGAGTTGTATCCTATGTCGGCTCCTTGGCCTTTTGTTGCTTGGGGAATGGACGTCATTGGCCCAATCGAGCCAAAAGCTTCAAATGGGCACAGATTCATTTTGGTTGCAATTGATTACTTCACGAAATGGGTGGAAGCTATTACATTGAAAGCAGTTACTAAGAAAGCAGTAGTATACTTTGTTCACTCCAACATCATCTGTTGTTTTGGTATTCCAAAAACCATTATTACAGATAATGCTGCTAATTTGAATAGTCATGTGATGAAGGAGGTATGTGAACAATTTAAAATTGAGCATCGCAATTCTACTCCTTACCGTCCCAAAGCTAATAGAGCTGTTGAAGCTGCGAATAAGAACATCAAGAAGATTCTTAGGAAGATGATCCAAGGGTCTAGACAATGGCATGAGAAACTACCTTTTGCTCTTTTGGGATACCGGACAACTGTCCGTACATCAGTTGGCGCAATGCCCTACTTATTGGTTTATGGAACTGAAGCGGTCATACCTGCTGAAATTGAGATTCCCTCTCTTCGAATCATTGTTGAAGCAGGGATTGAGGACACTGAATGGGTGAAGTCCCGATTGGACCAGTTGAATTTGATTGATGAAAAGCGTTTGGCGGCAGTTTGTTTTGGTCAGTTATACTAACAAAGAATGGCACGCGCTTACAATAAGAAAGTGCGCCCAAGACAATTCGAGGTAGGACAACTTGTTTTGAAACGTATCTTTCCGCACCAGGTAGAAGCAAAAGGAAAGTTCGCCCCAAATTGGCAAGGTCCTTACCTCGTCAAGAAAGTATTATCAAAAGGAGCTCTACACTTGGTAGATATAGAAGGAAAGGTGACTGATATATCCGTCAATGCAGATGCGGTCAAGAGATACTATGTATGACATGACTATGTTGGGGCATTCTTATATTTAGCATTCTCAGATTGGGATGACGAAAGGCTATCATTCTCGCTATCCAAACACTGGTCAACCCTAGTTATCCCTTTGAAGCCTTGTTTATATTTCTTTGTTTTTCCCTCTTTTGGAACCAATGTACTTTTAAAAAAAAAAAGTTCATGTTAATTGAACTACGTCTGACCTGATTCCGAAAGGATACGTAGGCAGCCTCACTCTGGGGTTCGGTCACATAAACTGGGGCGTGGTTTTATTTTATTTTCTATGGTTGTTCCATCAAAATGGGTCCAAAAGTTGTAATTCAGTTGAATATTTATTTTTACCTTTCCCTTCTAAGACTTTCTGATCAACTTTCGAGAATGCTAAGTCAGTATACTACGGGTGATGCCTCAGTCATTGTAAATAGAGAAAAATAAATAAGAGAGTCTTATTAGTGAAAACCTTAACGGGCACTATAAGGCAATAATGAGTTGAGAGAAAGGCGAATGAGAGAGGTCAATTAGTGAAAACCCACAAAGGGCATCATTGATTGATTTAAGGCTTCGTACATCCCGACACAAGCATGGTTAAGACAAAGAACTCAGTTTCAAAGTGAAGTTTACAACAGATTTCGAGAATTATACGG